GGTGCAAGGGAGGGTGACCAGCCACAACCCTAAACACCCTCCCCTGACCATACTGAGGCTTTCGGAGGCATCAAACAGAAATGAAAAACGAAGTCTATAAGTTTCAAACTACCTATACTGAGTAGACTCGGATTTTCTCCTCTGACGTCACCTCCTCGTCTTTACAAGAGCTTCTATATATGTTTGGCGGAGATTCCGTTTACAGTTTGGTCACTCAGACCTGCGTCTAATGTCTCGGCCTCTTTCGAAATTTGTCTGTGCATTGTAGGCCTGTTGCTACGAAATACCAACAATACGGCAAAGAGGACCAGATATTCATATGCGACGAAGTAAATCGACTCCTATCTGACGGTAACATTGAATCCTGCAACTCGCCATGGCGCACCCAGGTGCTGGTCAGCAGTGAGACCCACAAACGGAGAATGGTGATGGATTATAGCCAGATAACTAGCAAGTTCACCACCTTGTATGCATATCCACTTCCAAGAATCGATAAGAGAGGATATGGCTAAATGAAGCATTTCAAGGACTTTGGACCCCAATTTGCATATTAGCCAATATCCACTCGGGAAGAGGAAAAACATATTTATTGCTTTTGAGGCACCTAGACGTTTATTTCAGTCCCTTCGGAATTACCACTGGCGTTTTATGTTTCCCGATAGTTATCAATGAAGTATTGTCTCTTGAATATGAGAGAGGCATGTTTTCTAAGTGGACAACATTTGTTTGTGGGATTTCCTGGGCGATAGCAAAAAACATGGTTTGATGTTCAACGATAGCAAAAGCGTTATCTGCGTAAAAGAAACTTGGTAATATCAAACCGGATCCTGATAGGTTAAAGCGTTGCAACAAACCCCCGGGCTCGCAAATTGGAAATCACAACAAAGGATCGTGGGGTTTCTTTTCCTGGATTACGAACTCTACTAGCAAAATAAATCTATTTGTTACATGAGAGTAATGGAGGGTTTCATTCAACTTCAAAGGGGAATTCGTCGTGTGCATAGCAAATAAAGGGTGAACTGGAAAGCTAGGAAGCACTGGACAACCGTCCCGACCTGGTGGCTAGTGCTGATATGAGCGAGGCGTAAAGCCCGCAACAAGCTCGCGAAGATGGATTGTGCTATATAGTACAAATGGAAAATGAAAAGCGGTCTGATCAGCTGCCCGGTGGCTGGTGACTTGCGTTGTCTGACGTCCCGGGTTTGATACCCAGTTGGGTCGATGGATTCCTACAGCCGATGAGACCCAACCAGGTCGAAACAGCTGTACAGTAAATCCTAGCTTTTCAGTTTACGCTTTATTTTCTGTATACAAGACGAATTCCTCTTTGAAAGTCAATCTACATTTACATTTATTATATTTACGTAATCGAACCATTCTGACGAATCCCTCTGTGGAACAAAGTTTCGGAAGTATGAACAATCAACGGTGAAGATTGCGACAATTCGCTTCTACCTCCCATTTGCTATGGAAATTGATGCTTCAAACTTGGCGATCGATGGTACGTTCATTCAATGGGTACCCTGTCACCTTTTCTATGACATTAACTCAAGGAGGAAAACATCCAGTAACTGAAACCGTCCGGAAACGGAATTATCCGGCAACCATTTCAAACTCCACCAATCAGCAGTTTGTTTCTTCCATTTTCGGAAATCAGCACCACAAAAGAATTAGAAATGATAAGATCTTACGGGTGGAAAATATAACTATTTCCCTAAAGTTGTGTACAGGATGGACAGCATAATGCGGTCGATGATACACCTGGTCGAATCTGCAATGGAGCTTCCGTATGATGCATTGCGTAAGAGCTCGCAATTCGCCAGTCTCAATGGAAGAAGTACTGAACATAACAGTCAAT